ACGACCTCGAGGGCCTCGGCGAAGAAGTTGTTGAATAGCAGTGGGGATAGCACACATCCTTGTCGCACGCCCTGTGTCACGAAGAACCAGTCCGATAGTTCTCCGTCGTCCATGCGCACCCGGGCCCGCATTCCATCGTGGAATTGGCGGATGACTTCGATCAGCTTCGCGGGAATCCCGGCCCTGGCCAGCACCTTCCATAGCATCTCTCGGTCCACCGAATCATACGCCTTGTTCAAGTCGACGAAGCACATGTAGAGCGGTATTTTCTTTCTCCGCCCCCCCAGCTCCTGGAGGCGGCGCACGACGAACAGCATGTCGACGGTACTTCAGTGCAGAAAAAGATGGAGAGATGTTGTAAACACGGCGCCTACGTGGCCAACACAGACAGATACACCCGACAGACGGTTGTAGTCCAGGCAGTATGCCAGCAGCATCCAAGGTACGACAAGGACAGCTAAAGTATCCAGACAGTCCGATAGATCACCGAGAGAGATCCCAAAGAGTGGGGTCGTGCACCGAACGACAGAACGAGCTACGGGCTACGTACAGCTTTTAGTTCTTCCGCATACGTTACGTTCCAACCGATACATAGATAACACATATGTCATTCGTCTACATCAGCAGTACTACTAAACATTGACTAAGACAGGATATGCGTAGGCATTTCCAACAGCCTCTCGGGACCTAGTAGGTAGGTGTACCTCTTCGGGCTTGTGCCATTCTTTCTGGTAACAATAATAATAGTGTGCGTGTTCTTTAGATCATCTTCTTTTCATGGCTCTATCTAGTATTTTGTGACTACGGACCGAGTCTTCCTCTCTGGTAGATATCGGGAATGTAAGCAACTGACACGAGTTCAATGTCAAGAAAACTCAACTACTCATCACTCAGACAGGGGTAATATATACTATTACACCTCCTCCTTACTCACCTCAGGGCTGATCCAAACCGGATCATTTTTACATTTATTTCATCCCTGTTTTGACCGGGGTCGATCGTCTGTACCTCGGTTAGGAACCTTTTCCCTTAGTTGTTTTCTTTTTTAGAAAGTAACCATAGCATCACAGAAAGACTACCCTTTTTCTTTTTCTTCCTTGTTCGTTTGGGTAGAAAAACAAATCGCGAGCGGGAGGACTTCTGTTGTATGTACCGCCTTTGGGGCAGTTAGATTGTGACCACGGAAGGCGTCCGCGTCAGTTGGACCAGTACGGACATTAGAAGGTACTGAGCGGAGACCGGAACGGTTCTAATGTGAAGACAACAACAACAACAACAACCACAATAACAACCCAGACTTGACACTTCACCCCACCGAGACCACAGGACTCGGCGGTCGGACGACCAGACCGAGAGTTTGAGCTGATGAGTGTGGTCGGCATACCAACGAGGAAACTAGGCTGTGGTGGAGGTGTTCTCAGCAGTTGGAGTCGGCTGGTTTGACCAGTCGCTTGCGTGGTCTTCTTCACAGAAGGATCTTGGGTGACACCACACTGCTGCTGCTGCTTGTGACTCTTTTGACATCCACCGACCCACTTACAATACTTGGACACACCCATAAACATCTATTACCTCTACTTTGAGCAAGGCTCACAATTGATGTGTCCATTTATGTACAACAGTGAAATACGTGCCACAATGATTGTAACTCTGTCGTCTCGTGATCGGGCATAGGGTATCACTGAACGGGTCATCAACTATTACTATGGTACGTAACACTATCTGACCCTTTGGTGGACGTGTCCGTCCATGGACATCAACGGCCACGTCCGTCCTGAACGGATGGATATCCACAGACATGTCAGTCCGTGGTTGTCAATGGGCGTCCGTCCATGAACGCTTATGAAGACGTCCGTGGCCGTCCATCTATAACTGACTGTTGTGGATGTATGCATGTTTGTCTCTTGGTGACTATTATAAGTAGAGCGTGCCCCCGAGTTTTTCTTGTTTATTAAGGCGTCCACGGACAAATTGTGAGCGGACGCGTTCGTTCGTGGATATCTCCGCGCAAGCACGCCCGTGGACATTTAGCCGCCATCCGTGGCCGCCATACGTGGGGAAGTCTCCCGTAGATGACCGTGGAAATGTCCATGGACATGACGTATCCGTGGGACGTCCAACGCCAGAGAGAGGCAGATGCCCCTCAAGTTTTGGGATGTTTACGGTGTCGAGTGGACTGACTGACGGATCATGTTTTTTTCCCGTGTTGATGGGATATTTGGGTGCAGCAGCTAGCAAGCTTTTCGTCAAAGGCCGGAAAAGAAAGAAGGTTGACCCAACAAGCTCTTCATTGCTGACGAATCGCAGACATGAGCGAGGCAAGACAAGAAGGGCCCCGTGCGTCATGCTCATCGCATCCAAACGATCTACCGCGTAACACCACGGAGACCCCATAGATCAGTACTCTCCTGCCGAGCACCCCCAACCACCTACTACATCGTCAACGAACACACCGACCGGCCCTGCTACGGTCAGATATCTCGATGATACCATCCCTTCTTGCTTATGCACAACAAAACAGCTACCGCGTTGTTCTCAAGCACAACAAAAAAGTGACCATGGGAGGGGGGGGGGGGGGGGGGG